TGAAGACCGCTTTCCTTAATGGGGACATTGAGAAAGAAATTTACATGGCGCAGCCGGAAGGCTTCATATCTTCTGGAGATGAGCAAAAGGTTTGCAAACTCCAGCGATCCATTTATGGATTGAAACAAGCATCCCGTAGTTGGAACAAAAGGTTCGACACAACTATCAAAGAGTTTGAATTTGTGAAAAACCCGGAGGAACCTTGTGTCTACAAGAAGGTTAGTGGGAGTGCATTGACTTTCCTTGTACTTTATGTTGATGACATACTACTCATTGGGAATGATGTAGGGATGTTGCAGTCAACTAAAGTATGGTTATCCACACGTTTCTCGATGAAGGATTTGGGAGAAGCATCCTACGTATTGGGAATACGAATCTATAGAGATAGATCGAGGAGATTACTTGGCTTGTCCCAATCCATGTTCATAGACACCGTTCTTAAACGGTTTAGCATGGAAGAATCCAAGACGGGATTCTTGCCAATGTCCCATGGGGTTCGTCTCTCGAAATCCATGCGTCCTCAAACGCAAATGGAAATCGAGGAGATGAAAAGGACACCTTATGCATCCGTTATAGGAAGCATTATGTATGGCATGCAGTGTACACGACCTGATATTGCGTATGCTGTGAGCGTCACAAGCAAATATCAGTCCGACCCCGGCCCAGCCCATTGGAAGGTTGTGAAGGACATTCTCAAGTACTTGCGAAGAACTCGAGATTTGTTTTCGGTCTATGGGGATACCGAGTTGAAATTAGAAGGCTTCACGGATTCTAGTTTTCAATCGGACGTGGATGACTCGAAGTCAAACTCGGGGTATATATTCAAAGTCAACGGGGGTGCCGTTTGTTGGAAGAGTTCCAAACAAGGCACGACGGCTGATTCCACCACCGAGGCTGAATATATTGCAGCATCAGATGCTTCAAAGGAAGGGTCATGGATTAGGAAATTCATCCAAGAGTTGGGTGTATTTCCAAACGCTAGCGATCCAGTACGGTTGTACGGCGATAACAACGGAGTCGTAGCGCAAGCTAAGGAACAAAGAGCTCATCAGAAGTCGAAGCACGTGTTGAGAAAATACCATGTGATCCGAGAGATCATAGAGAGAGGTGAAGTCAAGCTAGACAGAGTCACCTCGGAGGACAATATTGCAGATCCCTTCACCAAGCCATTGTCAGGATCAGTCCACGAGAAACATCGAGAGTCGATGGGACTTAGATTTATGAGTAGTTCGCTTTAGGTCAAGTGGGAGATTGTTAGAGTAGGTGACCAGCAAGCCAACTTGCGGTTGTGGTCCTTCTCTTTTTCCTTGTAATAAAACAATCGTTTTTCGTTTGTAATAATAAAACATTTCATTTGGCATTCTATATCTGTTATCCCATGCAAGCAGCATAGATATTGTCCTAACGAGTTACTCTATTACTGTGAGTTGGTCTAGTAGAATCGTGAGATAACTCAGCAATGTAATGTAACTGTTAAACCTTGTTCCTAGTCGATGGGTTACGCCAATAATGAGGATACCGGCCTTTCCCTTTTGAGACTAGCACTTAGTGTATGTGTACTGCGTCTCATTAGTCATCGGTGTTATGACATCGGCATACTTGAGTGGGTGCTCATACTAGATGAGTTCACTGAACTCCCTCGCCCTAGAAATCTATAAGTGGGTCTCATTCATCGAGTAATAGGTTTATAAGATATAGTTGTACACCATTAGTCCTTAAGACACAGACATCACCGTGACTTCACTAGAGGACCGATTGTATCGTGACCTGTCCGTGAGTCCCACCGCGGACCACTCCAAGGGCCAACGTTCGTGCAATCCGAAATCTAGTGTGAAGTCTGTGCATTGTAGTAGGGGATTCGAGCGCTTGAGTAGTCATGGATGTCCTGTGTGTTCTGACGGTTTATAATCCAAGGAATCTCTGGCCAGAGTTGATAGTGGGGTGATTAGGGAAATGTGTTTCCTTAAGTCGCACACGAACGGATTTATAATACCTAGAACGTTCGCACGGTTATTGAACTTTATAAGAGGTCTCGGTGAACCAATGCCTCTAGTTCAACCGGGACATGTGCTGCGAAGGGATCGTACTGTACGCTAACTATATCATAAGGTTCTTGCAGGCACTTCACTTGTATCTAGGGAATCATGATGCCTAGTTGCTAGACGCCAATCTTGATTCGTTGGGCACCGATTTGATCGGGGATTAGGTAAAATGAGTTTTGCTCTAATCGGGACTCTTGGGAGGAGTTCGTATAAGAACAATGTGTTGTTCGAATCACAAAGAGTTGTGAGCCCACGGCTAGCATACACCTGAACCATTGAGGGTCACACTTCTCGTGTAATATAGATCCTTGATAACAACAAGCATAGATTAATATGTTAATCTTTGAACAATTGGATGTCGATATGATTGAATCCAAGATACATAATTGTGAATTGCGAATCGAAATAAACGTAGAGAAAGAGAGAAATGCAGAATTTAGTGAACTCTCTAAATTGGGAAGTTTCCCGATTTAGCAGGTCCTTTGAAGTGGAAGTTTCCAATTTGGGAAATTGGAAATTTCGAAGAGGCACTCGTATCGACGAGGACTTTGAGCTCTTCACAAATATAATTTTGTTATAATTTTGTGAACGATCGTTTATTAGAAACGAGGCTGACGAGGGAATGGGCTTAATACATCAGTGGGTCAAGCCCAATGACTTAAACCCACTAGGGTTGAAAACCCTAAGTATAAATAGACCTCAAACAAGAGTTTGAGATCAGATTTTTTGCTTAAAAAAACCCTAGCCGTCAAAGTTCTAGCCGCTCCTCCACTTCGGCCGTTGCTGCCCCGCCGCGCCACCGCCGATCACCGCCGGTTTTCTCCTCTCTTCTCCTTCGTTTACTTGTTGTTTATCTAACTCGTTTACATCTAGTGTTGTAGTTCGAGTGGGTCGAAAATACGAGGTGAAACCTAATTGGAGAGGAGTTGCTGCCCCGACGAATCCACGCACCGCCGTTGCACCGCCGCACGCGCCGATACGCCGCTCACGCGCCGCCGCTGCTGCTGCCACGCGCCGCCGTTCGTCGCTTGCTGGATCAGCTTGTTCCAGCCGTGAGTTGCAGCCCCGAGGATTGGTAATTTGCAGCTTGTACGTGATTGGTTCTAGGTTTCGATTCGTCGAAATCTCACGCTACAAGAGGTAAATAAATCGAAACTTTCGTAAATTAATTCGAGCATGTTTGTATGAATTATAATTTATGATTATGAGTAATATGTGATTACGTGTTTCGATTTTATTGAATGATGAACAAGCATGTTTCGTAATTTTCGGTTTTACGTGTTTTTAATTAAATCGATAATTACCATATGTATGGCGGAAGCGTTAAGGTACGTTGACTATGTGATTAGTTTAAGCATGTAATCGAAACTAGTTCGATCTAAAAATTTTAAATTCCGCTGCGTATACATGCACGATCCCCAACATTGCCCTCATTGCAAATGTACCAGAAAATGTGCAACAAAGTTGCACGTTGGGTTGCAAACCGTTTTAAAATAATGTCTGATATTGCGAAAATACCTTGGGTACTCCTATCACGCCTCCATGTTCCTACTACGGGGCATTTCGTTTCTCTCGTGAGGTTGTGGGTTTTTGTTGTTCTAAAGGCCAGATTTCTTTGGTGGACCCTACTGTTTGTCCGATCTTACATTCCTTATTTATCGGGCAATCAGAAGTTGCATGCCAATTTAGAAGACGATCTCGAAATTATAACAATGCCTTTGCATTCACTTCCATGGGAATTAAAACCGATCCGCAGTCATGGTGGGCTAAAGATGGCATTTATGCTTTAAAAGTTATAGGTCAAGTCTGCCATTTTATGAATCCTATTGATGGTTCACCTAATACAAAAGATATGCTTCTGCTATTTTTCCACGACACCTCTGAACACTTGGATCCTCAAGTCTTGCCATTTTATGAATCCTATTGATGGTTCACCTAATACAAAAGATATGCTTCTGCTATTTTTCCACGACACCTCTGAACACTTGGATCCTCAAGTACTTCAATCAAAAAAATTATGGGTTGATATTATGGATCTTCTAATTGCGGCTCTCTCAAAAAATCCATATTCCATCTTCTTTAAAAGGCTTCAGACTTGGAATGACCTCTGAGATGCGCACATTGTTATTAGATTAAATAGCAAATTGGATCAGAGAACTTATAATTTAGCGACAGCCGATGAAGTGGCTGTTGTGTGGAATGATTCTGATGGTGTTTCCATTGAACGTGAACGAGATATTCGTGTATACACTGATGGCGGCTACAACCATAAGGTGATATATCATTACGGTTGCTATGACCCGCTACAGTATCCATTATTATTTCCATACGGAGAGCCAGAGTGGCATGCCGGAATAAATAAGTTGGTGCAGACCATTTCTTCTTCGCGAAAATGAAAGGAACCTTGTCAAGGTCAGAATGCAACTGATCATACCAATGCAATTTCGGCTGAAGCAGTTTTGGAAATGGAAGAAAATGGTACAAATAAAAATATGTTACTACTAATATAACTAGACATTGATTTATGTTTCTTATTAATAATATAATTTCATAATCAATATTAATTTTTATGTAATTTTATAAACTAACAGTAAGTTTTATATTCTTATTTATGTGCAGTTCTTTGGATAAATAAGAACTCTCATATGAACGTATCATGCAGAGAGTTTTCGTGTTACAGAGCTCAAATGAGTGAACCAGTTCCCTCTTATTTATTGCATTTAGGAAGATTGGGCCATCAGTATGCAATTGATTCATACGTTAAGTTGGAGACATCTTGCTTGGATTATTATAGATGTGACCAACTTCAACAAGAATTTCAGATCGAATCATTTCAAGGAATTACTGATTCTTTATGTATCGATGGAGAAATGATCCCGCAAATGTCGGAAAAAAGGTTTTGCTGCCTTCTTCGTTTATAGGTGGACCAAGGACATGAAAAAACGTTATGTTAACGCTATGGCTCTCGTGCAAAGATATGGAAAACCTGATATATTCTTGACCATGACTTGCAATCCGTCTTGGAAAGAAATCAAAGATAAATTGCTTCCAAATGAAAAACTGCATGATAGGCCAGTGGTAATCGCAAGGGTTTTCAAAGCAAAGCTTGCAGAGCTCAAAGATGAAATTGTCAGAAAAAAGACTTTTTGGTGAAGTTGCAGCATATGTATATGCAATCGAGTCTCAAAAATGGGTTTTGCCTCACGCCCATTGGATTATTATTTTGACGGACCGTCACAAAATGATTTCATCAGATGTCTATGATGATATTATAACTGCAGAATTACGAGATACTTCACATCCTTTTTTAAGAGAATATGTTGTCCGTCACATAATGCACGGTCCATGTGGTCATTCAAATCCATCAAACATATGTATGAGAGACGGCCTTTGTAAAAATCATTATCCTAAACAATTTTCTTAAGTCACTGTTCATGGGCGCAGTTTTTATCCATGCTATAAAAGAAGAGATGATGGCAAGACAGTAGTTGTGCGCAAAGTCCATTTGGATAACAGACACATTGTTCCTTATTGTCCGTATCTACTTGCAAAGTATGATTGTCACATTAATGTCGAGAAATGTTCAAATATCAAGTTAGTTAAATACTTGTACAAATACATCTACAAAGGACATGATAAGATGGCATATCACGTGGTTGGCAATGAATCTCACGGTTCATACGATGAGATTCACGCTTTCCAAGACGGACGGTATATATGTGCGCCTAAAGCTTATTGGAGAATCTATACATTTCCAATGAGTGAGATACACCCTACCGTTATAACTTTTCTAGTGCATTTGCCAAATCACCAACCTTTGCGCTTCGGCCTCCATCAGTCCTTGGAGCAACTTCTGCAAAATCCTTTATCGTCAAAGACTATGTTAACCGAATTCTTTTGGATGAATTCCAATGATTCAAACACAAAGCATCTGAAGCTTCTTTATTACGAATTCCCAAAACATTTTGTCTGGGATTCTAAATCTAGAAAATGGAAGCTACGACAGAAACAAGTCGTTGTTGGTAGGTTATCCACAGTGAGTCCATTTTAAGGTGAACGATATTATGAACGGTTATTGTTAATGCATGTAAGGTGTCCTCAATCTTTCGAAGATTTGAAGTCTATTGGAAATGACTTAGTTGTATCTTTTCGGGAGGCTGCTATATTTAGAGGGTTATTAGAATCCGATGATTATATAGATAATTGTTTGGCTGAAGCAATTCATTATCAAATGCCATGCAGTTTGCGAAGACTATTTGCGATGCTACTTGTATACGGAGTGGTTCCCGATCCGCAAGTTCTTTGAGAAAAATATTATTCTGCGTTCTCAAAGGATTCTCTAGATTTGATGGGATGTCTGAAGCTGAAATAATGAGGAAAAAAATTAGATCTATAGACAATTTTCTACTCTCTATGGACAAATCCATATCGGATTTTTCTTTGCGGTTTCCAATTTCTTATTCTTCTGTTCGTGATAAAATGATTCGGGGGTATGAGCATGAGTAAAATATGGAAATATCAAAAGAAGATTTGCTTTCAAGTCATGCATTAAATGACGATCAACAGATAGCTTTCGATATGATTGTATCTAAAATTAACTCCAATGAAGGTGGTGTTTGCTTTGTAGACAGGCCTGGAGGAACCGGAAAAACCTTTCTGTACCGTGAATTATTGGCATATGTGCGTTCTAAAGGAAATATTGCTTTAGCTGTGGCTACTTCAGGAGTAGCAACTTCTTTGTTACCAGGTGGGCGAACAACTCATTCCAGATTTAAGCTTCCATTTGATCTTCTAGACAAATCAATTGGTAACATCAACAAACAATGAAACCTTGCTAAAATGATAATAAATGAAAAACTTGTGGTGTGGGATGAGGCCTCAATGGCAAATCGTCATTCTATTGAAGCTCTTGATGAATTACTTAGGGACTTGATGTCTGATGACTCACCTATTGGGGGGAAAGTGATTCTATTTTTGTGGCGACTTTAGGCAAACTTTACCTATAGTGCCTGGAGGATCAAGGGAATCCATGATTGCGGCTAGCATTGTAAGTTCAGTGATCTGGCCAAATGTTACAAAGATTAGACTACAAAGAAGATCCCTGTTTTGGGTCATTTTTAATCAGAATTGGCGATGGTGATGAGCCTTTCGTATTTGAAAACAACATTACCATCCCCCAAAATATGCTTATCCCTTTTGTCGATACAAATACTTCTCTTAATATGTTGATAATCTTTCCCTGTTTCGATTTGTTCCACACATATCCTTATAAATTAATTAATAGGGCAATTTTGACACCTAAAAACGAATGTGCTGAAGAAATAAATGATCTATTAATAGATAGTTTCCCATGAACTTTAAGGGAGTATGTTAGTTATAATAAGATAATAGATTCAAACCAACAAGGAGAATATGAAACCTATTTGAATAGTATTTCCGTAAGTGTCCTTCCTCCTCATATTTTGAGGTTAAAGATGAATTGTCCGATTATGTTATTTGAGGAATTTAGATCCTATTGAAGGCCTTTGTTATGGAACACAATTAATATGTCGAGAATTAGGGGAGAATTTTATCGGAGTAGAAATAGCAGTAGGAGATTTTAAAGAAAATCACGTGTTTATACCAAGGATTCCTTTAGAGTCTTCTGATAAACAAAATTGTGCGATTCTTTTTAAAAGGATGCAATTTCCCATTACCATGTTTTGTTATGACTTTAAATGAAGCTCAAGGTCAGACACTTGATTTTGTTTGAGTTTACCTACGTGAGCCAGTCTTCTCACATGGGCAACTTTATGTTGCACTGTCGAGAGCTAGATCAGCTGATGCAGTTAAAATCTTGATTCAACCATCATGTGAAAAAGCACTTGTACCTGTACAATATACGAAGAATATAGTTTACAATTAAATTTAAAATCTAGCTTAAGGCCATCTTTATACAATTTACTGTTACAGTGAAATTATATCGATAACTTATGAGTTTTTAAATACCTTCATGATTTTTAACGTTTTGTACACATTGTTTTGTACAATATTAGTAATATTTGGCAAATTTGTTTTATGTAGGATGACTTCAGTTGTTTTAGATCGTATCCAAGATGTCTTGCCAAGTATTCCTCGTTGGAGCATAAAATTAATGGTACATGACATAGCAAAACCACAACAGTCGTACTCAAGTCCCAAACGTTACCAGAGGAACAGTAAGTTCTTATTATTTCTTACTATCACAATACCAATTAAATATAACTTCAAGAAAAATAATTGCAATACTAAATTATTATAATTTGATTGTTTAAACGAATGACAAAAGGCTATGGCTACTATATTTGATAATGATATTTCAATGTTCGAAAAAGTATTCGTACTATTTGAGACATATAAAATTTTCAATGCTAAAATTACCCTTCTTGCTGAAAAGTATAATAAATTTGGATATCCATATCAATGGATCATAACTGCAAGAACTGCAATTAGTCGCGAGATAGGACATGCTATCTCTAGATCAGCAATGAATCTAAAATTTGCGTCAATTGGTCAGTTGAAGAGCAGCACACAAAGTGATGAATTGAAAGGTATAGACCACATTCTCATTTTATTTTATAAAATGTGATAAATTCCTTGCATTGCTATCTAGAAAAGCACTCACTCAAAAATGCTAATGAAAACACAAACTACAATACTAAGACATACGCATGAATGAACATGCACAAAAATACTCGGAGAAAACAACATTCACAAACATAAACGTACAAAACAATGGACAAAAGTACTCGAGGAAAAGTTCATGCACAAAAACACATGCACAAAAATATAAAGGATCATATTCTAGTTTCCTAAAGATATTTATATTAAAAAAGCACATATGGCAAAACTCACATTAATATATTTGTAACAATTACATATTTATAAATTCTAACCCCATATAGGGTTCACAAAAGAATTTATTGATTTTTATTTAATGAGTAACATTTTAACGTAATTTGTATTGTTGCATTGCATATTATTTGTAAAGTTAATTAAATAATAAAACCAATTAAAGTTTATTCATAAGCTAATTTTTAGTGAACCTTGTCTCACGCATATTAAGTACTAAAGATCATTTTCTTTTTCAAAAAATAAATCCTAAACCCAATATCCAAACATTACTCACGTGTTTGTCGATATTTTATGCAATTGGCTTAGTAATAATAATAATAATAATAATAATAATAAGGGGAAATTTGCTAGACACCCCTAATTTTGGACTTATATAGGTGGAAATCCAAGTGATTAGATGAATATAGGTGTAGGTCCCTTGCCTATTAAAATTAATATGAGTTAAATAAAATTAATTGTATATGGACACAAATATCCTTAACTAATATTTATATAAAAATATTATTTTAGAAAATAAAGAAATAAACCCACAAATCACTCTCATTTTTTTCTCTCTCCTCTCTCCCTATCTTTCTCTCTCTCACACGCATTTATCTCTCTCCCCTCTCTCCTATCTCCTATCTACATATCTTTCTCTCTCTCACCCTCTCACGCCTCCCTCTCTCTCTCTCTCTCTCTTACTTACATATTTATCTCTCTCTATAATTTTATGTTTGCATTTATTATTAATTTGCTTCCAAACAACAAACATCAAACATCAAACAACAAAAGGAATTTGAAAACACATATTTAAGTTGTTGTAATATGATATTTACTGGTTATATTTTTTGGTATAATTCCATCATAAATATTTATTTGCATATTTTTATTTAATAAAATCTTTAAATATTCAATTATCTTATTCACAATTTTATTTTTATTTTTTCCAAGTTGTAAGTTGTAACATGAAAATGCAAATTACATACAACAACAAAATGCAAAATACAAAAGAAATGGTAAACAAACTGCAAATTTTAGAATGGTGTTTTTTTTTTCTTTGTTAATTATGTATTACTGTTATATCATTTTGTAAATAGCGAACTGCACGATCAATAATTGCAAACATTAAAATGTCAAACATAAATTTGCGATTTGTATTAGTATGAGAAAAAAATAATACAGCATAATGCAATAGCAAAACAATCATTTTCTTTTGCAATTTTAAACTTGGAATTTGCAAGGTGATGTAAAAGATGAAACACTTTTATCAACAAACGTAAACTGAAACTGCAAACTGTAATCCACCGGATTACAAAATGAGGTTTGAACAATATTGTGGAATCGGTTGTTCTTTCTGTAACCGTTGGTTGTTCTTGGGTCTCGACTACAGTCTGAGTTGATTTTTCTTTTCCTTTTCGATGATTTAGTGACTTTTTTCCTTTTATTTGGCTTGACTGTTGGAAAAGAAAAAGGGAAAAATCAGAGCTATGGAATTATCCAAACAATGTTATTGCAAAAAATCAAACAACTAACAACTTTTGCAAGTTTATACAAGACTTGCAAAATGCAAACTACAAATAAAAACATCAAATGTAAGTAAACGATACATGAATTAGTCGAATAAAAATGGTACTTGAAAATAGCAAACATCATTTGCAAACAACTAACAACACTACTCAAAATTAACCAAAAAAATCAAAATTCAGATTACATAAGTACCAAAATCAGCCTCAAAAATAGCAAAATACAGAATCAAAGTGACAAACTTTAAAGAGCAAAATGCAAACCGAGTTTAAAAAAGCGCATAAAAACTCAGACTAACATCGAACAAACCTTAATAATTGTAACTTAAAATGCAGCTACATTTTGTTTAAGAATAAACATAACCAAAGTTATAACATTACCGAACCCCTCAATTGTTTGATTTTGGGGATCGAAGTCATCATCCTCATGGAAAAAAAAAGGTTCTCAAATTAGTATCGAATTATTCGAAATAAATTGCAAACCAGCAAAATGCAAAATAAAATAAAAACAGCAAAATTGAAAATAAAATAAACAACATG